TGGTTGTGCTAAGCGTAAACATCGCTATATCTTAGACGATGTCTGTGCTTTTTTAATCTCTTCTTCTTGTCTTGATCATTTCTGGGGGAAAGCTGATCTCATAGCTGTCTACACTATCAATTGTGTCCCTTCCCCTACCATCAACAATCACACTCCCTATAAGCGCTTGTATGGTACACCACCTACCTATGCTAGTCTTCATGTATTTGGATGTTTTGTCCTTCTTCAACCATATGAGCGTTCCAAATTAGAACATCGCGCCCGTCTATGTTGCTTTTTGGGGGTATAGGATTGAACATAAAGGCTATTGTTATTGGAATCCTCTTTCTCGTCGTCTTCGTGCCTCTCGTCATGTGGTATTTTGAGAACACAAGATGTTCTCCTTTATATCTAAGTTTCATTTGTTCACCCCTCCCACTATGCCATTCTTTACAAATCCTTCTCTTCTATTTGATGAGCTTGATACATGCTCTACTTTTGACTTGATGACTCCAACCCATCCTGAGAATTTTACTTCGCCTCTTGGTCCTACTGATGCTCCATTCCTTCAGCTTGCTCCTGCCTCTGCCTCTGCCTCTGCTCCTATCTCTGCCTCTGCTTTTGCTCTAACTCCTAGTCCTATCATTATTCCTTCTCACAGTGAGCCTCATACATCCTTTGATTCCATTGAATCATCTTCTCATCCCGTGGCACCTCTTCGTCAGTCTACTTGAGTAACACAACCTTCTGTCCTTCATCGTGATTTTATTGTTGGTTCCACTGTATTTTTCAATCATGAACCTACTTTTTGTCAAGAGGCTTGTTTAAACCCTCCTTGGTAGCAAGCTATAGCTGACGAATTGCAGGCTTTTGATAAAACTCATACATGAAATGTGGTTGATCTTCCTCTTGGAAAAAGTGTTGTTACTAAATTTATGCATTATGCAATAATAATTTTTGAAACTAAAACATGATTTATTTCAATAATACGTGCAAATTTGTTAGTTTGAATAGCATTAATTACTTTTCTTCTACTTGTTATAGTGGTTGATGAACATTATGATTAGTAAGTTGTCAAATGGGAAAAAAAAAATCGTATACAATAAAGTAGCCAAGGTCAAGGATCGCTTGTTCTAACAATATTTTGTCATTCTATCTTAATTTTAAGCATGATCCATATCTATAATTGATCTTAGATAATAGGATATATGGTTTCTTGGACAGGAGATCCTCAATCAACTACCTAAAATAAGACTTGTAATCACACAATAGATAGGGTTGTCTTAATCCAACTTGATCGGTTGGATGACAAATCCTTTTGCCATGGTCTCATCTATATAGTAACATTTCAAGATTGCTGAGTTAAATTTTTTTTTTTTCTACTTTTTTTATCTTTCTAGACTAGGACGTAAAAAGTTGAACAAAAATGTTAATTTTTTTAAATAAAAATTATTTAAAACAAAAAAAATGTCAAATTTTATTTTATTTTTATTATTATTATTTTTAAGTGTTGTCAAACTCAGCCCAATTATACATATATAAAGATATTTTTTGATAATAATACAATGTTGTGGAGCTCACTTCTATTATGAGTGAACAGTGTAAAATAAAAGGTCGTGTGTTCGCAAATTATTTATTTATTTATTATTAGTGATGATACAGTTTGTCCCAGTGAATGGATCGGACTAGTCCAAGCTCCTCAAGCCCAGGTCCAAATGATCAAGCCCACTGGATGACCTGCAAACAAGTTCAATGGGGAACGGGGTAATCCCCCAGTGAACCCTTCGACGAGCAAGTTAGGAAGAGAAGTAGAGTATAGAGGGAGAGATTAGAGATAGAAAAGCTTAACCTTCTTCTTGTCTTCCACGTTTGCTTATATCTTTTGGTAATCATTTCGCTGTCCCTTCCGACATGCCCTCCTCGCCGAAAGTCTATGCTGTAGCTTACCTTGTTTAGGGTAAAGGGGTCCTGTTCCGACGGAGAGGTGTTATCGTAATAAATGCTGTGATGGGCTGCATTAATGGTGATGTGCAGTGGCAATAACTTTGCAGATCTTTATCTGTTGATGTGGCTCGTTCTTCACCTGCCGTGTGTCTGAATGTTATTGGCTCTTTATGCCATGTTAGACTCCAGCTGTCCTGGACCTCACCAGCTGGGTTATGTATTGGGCTCCAAGTGATGGGCTTGGATTGTTTATAGTGATTCGTGGCCTTTATGGGCTTATACACGTCAGTAGTCCCCCATTCTTGAGTGCAGCTTTAGTTCAACGAAGGGAATATTAATGAAGTAGATGAGGATGTTAGGGATTGGCAGGATGGAGGTCGACCGGCAGGGGTGACCGAGGGGGTGAACCGAGCGGGAGGTGGTCCGACCGTGCAGGTCGACCGAGTGGAAGGGCCGATCACGGGGAGGGCCGATCACAGGGAGGACCGACCGCAAAGGTTGGCCGAGTGGGAGGGTCGACCACGAGGAGGGCCGACCGCGAAGGGGGCCGACCGCGGAGGTTGGTCGAGTGGGAGGGTCGACAGCGAGGGGGGCCGACCGCGAAGGGTGAGGTGGAGGGGCGTGGGGTTCGAGAGGCGGCATGTCACGTGGTGATTTGAAGTGGAAAAGACAGGGTAAGGGGAGGAGACAGTGGATCGTGGTTGTACACGTGGCAACATCCCGCCGGGGGGGGGAGATTAGGCACTAGATCAGAAATGAAACGATAGGTCATTATGGGTGTTGAAAAGACAGTTTTGGCGGATGATTTGAAAAATTTTCAAACTGACGAAAATTAATTGGGATCCTTGGAATACCGACAAACCGTGGGTGTAGACGCGCCCGCGTGAGGCCTTATGTGCTACAGTTCGGACTCGATTTTTGTCATGGTTCTTAATCTGAACCAAAGAGTCCAAATCCGGCAAATCATTTTGAGAAAACAGATTTTTAGAAAAGAAGTGCCAAACATGGACTGCTTTGCCAAATACAGAGTCGCCACCTAAATAGTTTTTAAGGAGGAATTTAGGAAACCCTAACTCGGTGCCAAAGGCCACATGTCCGTCATCACCAAAGTTGCCTCGGCTCGGGAGCTTGGGGACGATTGGGGAAGAGTGGAAAAGACAGGGTAAGAGGAGGAGACAGTGGATCGTGGTCGTACACGTGGCAACATCCCGCGGGGGGGGGGGGATTAGGCGTTAGATCAGAAATGAAACGATAGGTTATTATGGGTGTTGAAAAGACAGTTTTGGCAGATGATTCGAAAATTTTTCAAGCTGGCGAAAATTAATTGGGATCCTTGGAATACGGGCAAACCGTGGGCTTTTGGCATTATTTGATTCACCTACTTGTTTATGAAAAATCAAAATATTCCAAGTGTGAATTCCTTTGTTGCTCGCGATACACCTCTGCAACACTTTTTCAACTTCCTTATACCTGCATCCGAAGCGATTCGCAGGCATACCACAGAAATGGCCCAAGAAGAAACTGCGAATGTCAGGGTGGATCCACTTGGTGATGATGATGCAGTGGAGTTAGCACAGCAATATAGGATGGAGAGGGTGGGGGAGTCGGTGGTACGATCCCATGGTTCCACTATGATAGTAGCTCCAAAGCCAATCAGCCAGGCAGAACTAGATCACTGACATACAAAGGCAGATAGATCAACGGTTACTACAGCGGATTTGGAGGCCATTCGCGAAAAATACCAGGTGACTGCTGAAATAGAGTTGTTGTTGTCGATGTCGACGGAGAGGCCATCCGACGCCAGGCTAGGGGAGTTTGCCCTTTATGAGGAAGCATTGAAGGGAGGACTGAGGCTGCCCCTGCCGCAAGTGGTGGTAGATGCCTTGAATCGTTTGGAGGTAGCGCCGGACCAACTAATGCCCAATGCGTGGAAGATCTTACTACCCTGTACAAGTGCGTGGCCGAAGGCGAACGAAGGGGCGGCCATGACAGTAGACGAATTCTTCGCATGTTACAAGGCCTCAAGGCAACATGAGACTTGGGTCACTCTGCAGGCAGTGGCAAGGAAAGGGCTGGTGGCGGGGCTGCCGTCATCGATCAAGGGGTGGAGACCACGGTGGTTCTATGTATCTGCCAGTGGAGGAGTTAGAGTGCACACCATTTGGAAAGTGCCCACCAAGTCTGTGGAGCCAAGGCTGGGAGCAGCAGCAGAGGAGAGGGTGAAGAGGGTAAAGGAATTGAGGGAGAAGGAAGGGGCCAGGTGGGACGAACTCGTTCAGCCGTCGGCTTTGTTTGAGGCAAGGTTGGGTCCCCAGCTGAGTGGTGGGGACCTCGACCGAACGGAGTTGGAGGCAAGGAGGAAGGCTCAAGAGGCGGAGGATCAGACCATCCTTGTCAAGCCCAAAAATTCAAAGAGTCTCAGGCAGACCGACCGCCAAAGCCGGTTGCAAGGGAGAGGATCCAACCGCGACCCAAACCCTTGGGGGAAAAAAACTTAGGTGAATTTGTGCCACGACCGTCCCCAATAGATCCTTTGAAGGCGAGGTCGTTGAAGGAGATGGAGGTGTTGGGCGTAGTGAAGAAGAAGAGGAGAGTGAGAAGGAGTGGAGAAGAGCCTGCCCAGAAGAGAAAGAGGGAAATGAGGGAAGTGAGGATAAAAGAGACCAGTATGGCGAAGGGGGCAGAGGGGGGGGGGAGGGAAGGAGACCCCAGGAAGAGTAATTGCCCCAGAAGTGGTGGACATTGCCTCAGAGGGCATGGAAGTCGTTCCAGTAGTGGCGGCGATCGCCGCGGGGGTCGCGAGGGTCGCCCCTAAAGTGCAAGTAGAAGGTGGGGCAATTGGCCCTGAGCCAAGGGGGAAAGAACAGACCCAGGGGGCTCCCGCACCCCAACGAGGGGGAGTTAGTCTGACTACTGCGATCTACCATGCTTGTACGGTGGCTGGGCGGCTGGAAGGAGAAGAAGGCCCAGCTAGGGCAGGGGCAGATCGCCTTGTGGGGATTGTAGAAGAGGCAGCCTTGCGCTCAGCAGCCAGATTCAATGAGGCTAAACTGCTGAGGGGGTTATGCTTCGCTCAAATGGAGGTAACTACCTTAGCAGGGGCTTTGCTGAGGAAGGCTGGGGCTGCAAAGCTCAAGGCAGATAAGGCCAAGGCTCAACTTGCAAGGTTCAAGAAGGAGAGCGCAAACTGGGAGAGTGCCCATGCTGAGCTGCAAACGGTCAAGGTGGAGCTGGAGAACACACGTCGCCAGGTTGTGTCGCTCGAGTTCCAACTGGCTGGCGAGCAGAAGAGGCTGGATGAGGCCCAAAAAGCCTGCGCGGTCGCGGTTGAACGACATGAAGATGCGATGAGCAGTAATGAAGAGCTGGTCAGGCAGAAGGATGAGGCAGACGTGAAGATTAGCGATCTGCAGAAGGAGCTGGAGGGCGAGTGTGCAAAGGCACTAGAAGAGAGGGAGAGCCTTCAGAAGGAGTTGGAGGCAGAGAGAGTCAAGGCGACTGTTGAGAGGGAGACCTTGAAGAAGGAGTTGGAGGCAGAGAAGGCCAAGGCAACTGCTGAAAGGACGTCCCTGAAGAAGGAGTGGGAGGAAGAGAGGGCTAAGGCAGCCTCTGAAACGGCGACCCTGCAGAAAGAGTTGGACAAAGAGAGGGCAAAGGCAGCCTCTGAAAGGGCGGCTTACCCTGATCTGTATGTGGCAGCAGTGGATCAATTCAAGGGGTCTGCTGAGTTTCAGATGGCAGTGTATGTCGCGGTCACAAGCAGCTTGGCGAGGGAGGAGTCTGGGGGGGCGGGCCCATCGAGGACGACCGTTGGGGGCAGAACTGAAGCGGAAGTGATTGAGAGCTTCCAGCAGTCAGACTTCTATAAACACGAAATGGCTGAGTTCTGGGACAGTGGCTGGAAAATGTTCAAACGTAGGGCTGAAGAACTGTTCCCAGACTTAGACCTCAGTAGTGTAACAATTGGTGAAGATGATGTGGCCCAGACCCCCCTGGATGAGGGTATTGAAGAAGAAGACCTTGTCTCTAGTGAGGAGGAATGAGTGAAGTGAAGAAAGTTTGTACTTAAGAGTTTTTTTTTTTTTGTGTGTTGGTTTTTGTTTTGAATGGCTGTAATGAACTCATGTACAAATTTCTGAATAAATCGAATTGCAATTATGTTTTCGTTTGATTTTTTGTGCTTGTGCAGCTGAAATGAATGAAGCGTGGGCGAAGCGGGTGTATAACTCATTGTGAAGTGCAAAGTGAAGTTAAACTTGTAATAAGAACTAAATTTACGAACTCCTCAGTGTAGAGTGAAGTTGAAGTTGTAATAAAAACTCAATGCAGAGTGAAGTTGAACTTGTAATAAAGACTTAATGCAGAGTAAAGTTAAGAACTCCTCAATGCAGAGTGAAATTGAACTTGTAATAAAGAGTCAATGAGGAGTAAAGTTAAGAACTCTTTAATGCAGAGTGAAATTTAAAATGTAATAAAATTATAAGTTTGTGTTTGCCACACTGCTGAAGTAGATTAGTGGCTTATTGGAGTGATGCTTGGCTTGTAAGGGAACAGGCTGACTTGTAAGAGTTTGATTGAGAAGAAAATAACCTGACTTGTAAAGAAAACGTGTAAGAACGTCTTTGGAATTTGACTAACCAAAGAGTGGTGTAAAGACTTGGACCTGGAATTGTGACTAAGTGTGTCTACTAATTCCACAAGCATGAAGTTTGCATAGATGGCGTTGACCGAGCCCTGCACACGTGCTCAGTTGGGGCTAAGCTATGATTCACTGACGTGATAAAGAACTCAGTCTGAACCTGAAATTGTGGCGCTCGGTCCGGCTGAGACTTGTTATGCTTAGGCTGGCTGAGGCTTGGTCTGGCCGAGTGCTTCATGTTCAGTCTGGCTGAGGCTTTATGATACTCAGTCTGGCTGAGGCTTTTTGATGCTCAGTCTGGCTGAGGCTTTTTGATGCTTAGTCTGGCTGAGGCTTTATGATACTCAGTTTGGCTGAGGCTTTTTAGTGCTCAGCCTGGCTGAGGCTTTTTGATGCTCAGTCTGGCTGAGGCTTTATGATGCTCAGTCTGGCTGAGGCTTTTTGATGCTCAGTCTGGCTGAGGCTTTATGATGCTCAGTCTGGCTGAGGCTTTTTAGTGCTCGGTCTGGACGAAGCTTTTTAATGCTCATTCTGACTGAGGCTTTATGATGCTCAGTCTGGCTGAGGCTTTATGATGCTCAGGCTGGCCGAGGCTTTATGATGCTCAGGCTGGCTGAGGATTTTCATGAGTGCTGCAATCAAAACGTCATTGAGACACCATACAGATAACTAAGATATATAATTGATGGCAGGGGAAGTGTAACCCAGTTAATTAAAAAGTTACATTGCGTAAGGAGATATCAAGAATGTGTAAATTTGCCGAAAAAAAAATACAATAACTGAGCGATACAAAAGTAGGGGCTTATTGAAAGTAATGTTTCAGGTGTTCGGCGTTCCATGGGTGAGGGAGGTCTCGACCGTCCATGTCCTGAAGTCAGTAGGTGCCCGGACGTGGTCTGACTTTTACAACGTAAGGTCCTTCCCATTTGGCTGCCAGTTTACCCTCAGTCGAATTTTTGGTGGCAAGAGTTGCTTTTCTCAAGACAAGGTCCCCTACAGCGAACTCCCTTGGTCGGACTTTGCGGTTGTAGTGTGTTCTCATTTTCTGTTGGTATGAGGCCAGTCTGACAGCGGTGGTCTCTCTGAGTTCTTCAATTAGGTCCAGGTCTGCCTGACGGAGCTCTTCGGTGAGTGTTGGATCCGGATGTAAAACCCTGGGAGTAGGCAGACCGACTTCTACTGGAATAACCGCCTTAGCGCCGTATGTTAAGCGGAAAGGGGTTTCCCCAGTGGGAGTCCAAGCTGTAGTTTGGTAAGCCCAGAGTACATTCGGTAGTTCCTCAGCCCAAAGTCCCTTAGCAGCTTCTAGTTTAGTTTTGATGATCTTCAGGAGAGAACGGTTGGTGACCTCAACTTGGCCATTGGCCTGGGGATGACCGGGGGAAGAGAAACATGGTTGAATCTGGAGGTCGGCACAGAACTTCCTGTACTTGGCGTTGTCAAATTGTTTTCCGTTGTCGAAGACGATGGCCTGAGGAATGCCAAACCTACAAACGATCGACTGCCAGATGAACTTGGTTGTGTTTCGCTCGGTAATGATGGCAAGGGGTTCTGCCTCTACCTACTTGGTGAAGTAATCAATGGCGACGATCGCGAACTTGGTCTGACCTCGGCCGGTGGAAAGTGGACCGACCAAGTCGATCCCCCATTTGGCGAACGGATAAGGGCTGCAAAGTGTGATCAACTCTGTAGGAGGAGGATGGGGGATGTTGGCAAAACGTTGACACTTATCACATTTGAGCACGAAATCAATCACATCTTGATTGAGAGTTGGCCAGAAATAACCAGTACGGAGTATTTTGTGGGCCAGAGACCTGCCGCCCGAACGATTACCACAAATTCCCTCATGGATTTCCCGCATTACATAGGTTGCTTGAGCCGAATTGAGGCATCGCAGGTATGGGCGTGAAAAACCACGTTTGTACAAGACGCCACTAACCAGGATGTAATTGGACGATCGGGCCCTGACTTTGGCGGCCTGCTATTGGTTATCTGGGAGTTCCCCCGTTGTCAAAAATAGGAAGATGTCGGACGCCCAAGGGATAGGTTCGTTTTGGAGGAACTGCACTTCTTGTAAGTCGGGTGAGATGGCCGGGTGGGCTAAGTATTCGAGGCGAACATCGTGGCTGAGGTCGGACTGGTCTGCAGAGGCCAACTGAGCCATCTCATCTGCCTTGGAATTTTTCGCCCGAGGTATGTGCTTGATGTGAAAGGTATTGAAGAGGCGAACAAAGGGGAGGGCCATATCCCTGTAAGCCCACATTGTGTCCTCCTTGGCGTCGAATTCCCCCGTAATCTGGCCGACGATGAGCTGGGAGTCGCTAAACACCCAAATGTGGCTGACTCCAATGTCCTTGGCGAGGTGGAGTCCTGCTATCAGTGCTTCATATTCGGCCTCATTGTTACTTGCATTAAACAAGAAATGGAGAGCACATTTGAAATAGCCACCCTCAGGGGCGGTGAGAATGAGGCCAGCCCCACTACCTTCTCTGCGGGATGATCCGTCCACGTTGAGAGTCCATGAATACGGGTCTTTTGGCTCGGTAGGGTTTGGTGGGGGTGGAGGCGCAGCGGTTGGGGTAGGATTAGTGAATTCCAGGATGAAATCCGCGACAACCTGTCCCTTAATTGCTGTTCGAGACCAGTAGGAGATGTCAAACTGACTGAGTTCCACTGACCACTGCATGAGTCTGCCGGAAAGTTCTGGTTGCTGCATGACCTTCTTCAAGGGTTGGTTGGTGAGAACCACTATGGAATGGGCCTGGAAGTAAGGACGGAGCCGTCTGGAGGTGGTGACCAAGGCCAAGGACAATTTTTCTAACAGTGGGTAATTCTGCTCTGCTCCCCGGAGAGCCCGACTGATGTAGTAGACCGGCCGTTGGACAGAGTCATCTTCCCTGATAAGAGCTGCACTAACTGCGATGCTTGAGACGGCTAAATAGAGGAAGAGGGGCTCGCCCGTAATTGCTTGTGAAAGAAGGGGGAGATTTTCCATGAACTGCTTCAACTGTTGAAAAGCTTCTTTAGATTCAGTTGTCCATTCAAAAGTTTGCCGAAGAACTTTGAAGAATGGTAGGCACTTAACTGTTGCGCGGGAAATGAAGTGGTTGAGGGCCGCAACTCGGCCAGTGAGCCTTTGAACTTCCTTAACCGTTCTGGGTGACTGCATCTCAATCAAGGCCTTGATCTTTTCAGGGTTAGCTTCAATGCCCCGCTGACTGACCATGAAACCCAGAAACTTCCCAGATCTTACGCCGAAGACGCACTTCTCTGGGTTGAGCTTCATTTGGTACTTGCATAGGGTGGCGAAGGTCTCTAGCAGGTCGGACAGATGATCAATAGAGAGTTTGCTCTTGACTAGCATGTCGTCGACATAGACTTCCATATTCCGACCTATCTGATGATGGAAAATGGCATTGACCAACCGTTGGTAGGTGGCCCCAACATTCTTCAGTCCGAATGGCATCACGCGGTAGTGGTTGGTACCTCGGTCGGTAATAAAGGATGTATGTTCCCGATCGGACGGGTGCATCAGGATTTGATTGTACCCAGAGAAAGCATCCATGAAGCTGAGCATTTGATGACCGGCCGTGGCGTCGACCAGCAGATCTATGTGGGGAAGAGGATAGTTGTCTTTGGGACAAGCTCGGTTTAGGTCAGAGTAATCGATACGCCATTTGCCATTGTTCTTGCGGACTAGGACCACGTTTGACAACCATTTAGGGTAATCCACGGTTTTTGATGAATTGGGCCTCAAGGAGCTTGTCAACCTTTGCGGTTATAAGTGTATTGCGCTCTGGATGGAAAATGCGCTACTTCTGGAGGTAAGGTCGGAAATGGGGTTCGATGCTGAGGCGTTGACTTATGAAAGAGGGGTCAATGCCCGACATGTCTGAATGGATCCAGGCAAATACATCATTGTGCTCGATCAGAAGGGCGGTAAGGTCGTCCTTAGCTTGGGGGAATAGTTGGCTGCCGATCTTGGCAGTCTTCATAGGGTTGGTGGGATCGATGGGAACCTCAACAAGCTCCTCAACCGGTTCTCCTCTGACCAGCTCGTTCTCATCTCGGACGTCAAGTCCTTTAACGATCATGGCCTCCTTCAGCTTGACTTCCTTGAGTGAGGCAACATAACATTCCCTAGCTACAGTCTGCTCTTCCCTTACTGTCCCGATGCCCAGGTCGGTAGAGAACTTTATGGCGAGGTGCTAGGTTGAAGTGATAGCTTGGAAAGCATTGAGGGCGGTGCGGCCAAGGATGATGTTGTAGGCAGAGGGACAGTCGACCACAAGGAAAGTGACCAACTTGGTAGTCTGCCGTGGGTATTCGTTGATGGTGAGGGGGAGATCGATGGAGCCGATGGAGGTCACCCGGTCGCCAATGAAATCGACCAAAGGGGTTTGGAGGGGAGACAGGCTTTCCTCCCCTATCTTGAGCTGGCGAAAACAGTTGAGGAATATGATGTCTGAAGAACTGCTGTTGTCGATGAGAACCCGTCTGACCTTATAGTTGGAGATGAGGGTAGAAATGACGAGAGGGTCATCATGAGGATAA